CCAAATTGGCCGAAACTCGGGGGTATTAGATCTGAGGCCCGGCCGCATACCCCCCCGCGACGCGTTTTCCGTCATCCGCCGCCCCCTGTTGATTCATCACAGGGGTGCCTGGCGTGCTAGACTTCTGTGGCTTTGGGCTCTTTTAAACTCCCCCTGAGGCTTCAACCCAACCCACCCGCCACCCAGGAAGCGCCCAAAATCCATCTCTCGTTGAGTAAATCGCTTCCAAGATGGCCAAGATGGCCCAAGCTGGCCTCCAAGATGCCTCCAAGACGCTTCTCAGACAGCCAAGATGGCTCCAAGAGAGCCCAACATGGCCCCAAGATGCATCCAAGACGGCCCAAGGGCTCCCCGGACGGCCCCAGAGGCCGCCAAGAGGCCTCCAAGACGGCCAAAGAGGCCTTCAAGGGGTCCTCTAAAAAGGCCCGAAGATACCAAACCGTTTAGTTAATTAAATGATTTTGGCGCTTGCGACTTCTCGGTTTCCCGAAGGCCCAAGACGGCCCACGAGGCCTCCAATATCGCCTCCAGAGCGCCCAAGAGGCCTCCAAAATGGCCCCAGGACGGCCCAAGAGGCCCCCAAGACGGCCTCCAAAGGACCCAAAGACGGCCCGAGAGACCTCCAATGACGGCTTCCAAGACGACCCTGAAGCGCCCCAAGAGTCCCAAGACGGTCCAGAGAGGCTCCCAAGACGGCTTCCGACGGCCACAGGCCCCCAAGAGGCCAAAGGAGGCCTCCAAGAAGCCTCCAAGAGATCCCCCAGAAGCTCCCAGGAGGCCCCAAGAATGACCCAAGAATGACCCAAGAATGACCCGAAACGCTCCCAAGAGGTCTCCTGATCCTTCTCCTCATCCTCCTGTGTCCTCCCTCTCCTCATCCTCCTCGTCCACCCTGACGTGTTCCCCAAAGGGCTTCCACAACAGCTGGGGAACGCATGGTCCACTCGCCGGGCCAAGCGTTGCGCAAACGTTTGGCCACGTAGGCGTATCCTACAAGGCAGGGGGCGGCGGTGATTCGCCGTAGGCGTCCTCGATAGCAAGAAGAAGGTGACGAATAGCAAAACGAATCAGAAGAAAGAGAATACGAAGAAGGAGCATAATAAGAAGAATAAGAAGAAGAGGAAGCCGAAGCCGAGTAAGAGAAAGAACACTAAGATGGATCTCCATAGTCGTAGGAGGGGAGACCATAATCATAGGAAGAGTAAGAATGAGAAGCGGCTCAAAGTCTCGCCCGCCCCCTCCCCCCGATTTGCGCGAGCAGGGGGTAGACGACCGCGGAGCTCTGGACTTCAGGGGCGGCCACCGAATGAACGCGCGCGGTGTACTGCTGCAGCCTCCTCATCATCAGCATCACCCCTCATCGTCGTCGTCATCATCATCACCACTACCACCACCGTCATCATCATCCTTCTCATCATCACCTCCACCACCATCATCATCATCAGCATCATCGTCTGCATCCTCATCCTCATCCTCATCCTCATCACCCTCATCATCATCATCATCATCTTCATCATCATCATCATCAGCAGCAGCATCACCCTCATCAGTATCAGAATCATCACCATCGACCTCGCCATCGTCATCGTCACCGTCATCGTCATCGTCGACATCATCAGTATCAGCATCAGCATCAGCAGCATCATCATCGTCACGTTCAGAGTCATCATCATCGTCAGCATCATTGGCCGCATCATCAGCATCATCAACAGCATCATCATCAGCAGCAGCATCCTTATCATCACGAGCTGCATCATCATCCGCATCAGCAGCAGCATCATCAGCAGCATCATCATCCTCGTCATCCGCATCGTGAACGTCGTCGTATTGCGTATCATCATCCTCACCATCCCCCGCCTCGTCATGAGCATCATCAGCATCTTCATCCACATCATAATCATGAACACCCCCACCACCACCACCAGCATCATCATCATAATCACGATACGCATCATCATCAGCATCCTTATCAGCATCATTATCAGCATCAGCATCGTCACAAACAGCATCATCAGCACCATCCTTATCATCCTCATCCTCACCATGCCAATCATCAACAGCATCAACAACATCACCATCAGCAGCAGCAGCGTCGCCGTCGGAATCCAAGTGCTCCTCCAAGCACTCATCCTGGGTGATCTCTCCTGATCACACATTCCTCCCTCTTGTCTCCTACGCCCTCCTCCTCCTCCTCCTTTTCCGTCAATCATTCCCTTCCCTCCGTCTCTAGCTGAATCGGTCCATCTCTCCCCCCCCCTCCAACTGTACCCACCTCCTCCAATCCCTTCATTCCTTCTTCCATCTTCCGAATTCCTGTTTCCCTCTCTTCCTGCTTTCCATCTCCTGTGCCCATCTATCCTCATCATCGGCCCTCATCATTCCTCCCCCTGCTCCTCCTCATCCGTCCATGCCATCATCTCATCTCTCTCTCTCTCTCTCGTTCCTTTTCGAATGTCTGAGACACGCACCGTCTTGGCCGACAGGATCTAAAACATTGGAATGGCAAGGAGTCCATCCATCGACGGAGCCTGGCGCGAGTTGAGCGTGAAGTACACGGTTCCACATGTGCGATTCCCGCGTCCCTCCCGCCTCGCACCTCCCTCCCTTCATTGGAACTCTTGGAGCATCTCGCCTCCCTCCACCCCCCCCCCCTTCCTCTCTCGCTCCATCCTCCTCATCCTCCTCATCCTCCCTCCCGCACGCATGCCTACCCCTTCTCATTCGTCTCCCTCGCCTCCTCCTCATCCTCCTGATCCTCCTGCTCATACGTAATTCTCATGATCCACATCCTTGTCTCGTCGTACTCCTCGCCAGCATCTGTCCACACATAAACGCTGTTCACCGATGCACCACCTCTGCTAGTCAGTGAGGGTTGAGTAACGTCTTGAAACCATCGGATGCGATACCTCTGCTCCAATGCGCCCACGCAGCATAGTCTGCGTACGGTCGCTCCTTCATGCTCACGTGGCCCCCACGTGGGCGTAACCTACGAGGCAACAGATGTTCTGTACCCTGAAAGTGCTAGTGAAGGGAGAGCGAGCAAGCGCGCTGGTGACCGCCAAGGGCGAAGCCTGCAAGGCCAGCGTGGGTGGGCCAGAGCCCTCAGTTATCGTATTCGAAGTCGGCGAGGGGACTTTGGGGAAGGAAGGACGTAAGGAGGCATGTTCGTGATCTGGCGTCGGCGTCCGCGAGGTTTGATCGCACTCTTCCGCGAATATACATGGAGGAAGAAAGTCAGTGAAGATCCGTAATGCTCCTCCTATACCGCGGGTCGGTCCGACATCGTGAGCTGTTCGCGATATGAACCTTCAAGCAGGTCTCGGCCCCATGCCAGGACATGTTTTTGTCCGTCGCGGGTGACTGTGTTTATCGCCCTGGTTCTCGGAAACCGCCCCAGGAGGCCCAGCTTTTTGTTTTGGCTCGAGTACATGATCTTTCCGTTGTGAGTCCAGCGGCCCGCTTCATGCACCAATGCTGCGACCCAGCTTGCTCGCCGGTACATACAGCCATTTCTCAAGATCTTCCCTCGATCACCGTCATGTCTGAGGTATAGAGCTGCGTCCAGTCCTGGCCACGACAGCACAGAAACATCAGAATCTCCTCCTCGACCCTCCTCCGAGCGTCGACTTGCGGACCGTTCTGCTTCGATAACCGGAGCTCTCGAGGCCCTCCGACCCAGCAAACGCCAGGTGGAAGGCAAGGGAACCAAGTATAGGTGAGGGAGCAAGCAGAAGGCCATCCCGACGAGGATGAGTGAAGGGGCCCACAAACACACAAATAAATACACACAAATAACAGCATTCCCCATATTTTCCCATATTTTCTGTGTTTCTGTCTTCCCCCCCACTTCCCATATTTTTCCATATT